GTTCGTCATATGACGAACATCATCAGAGGAAGATATCATTGTCATAACAAAACGAGTCGTTCGCTTGAATTTTTTTGTGAAGAGTATACCTTGCTCTGATGAGGTTCGTCATATGTCGGACGAAAGCTTAGCACCTTTTCACTGGAATCGATGAATTTTACCTCGAAAACAGCGTCAGCGTGAATCTTCCAGTAAAGTCAATCGAAAGCCTTCGTCTTCTGGTGGAACCGACCTTCAAATCTCTTCACCCAACACTTTCACTTCGAAATGGAAGTAAACTTAACAATTATGAAACAAGGGATTCCTCGAAACCCAAATTTTATTGGTATATAGTGTAACCTTGACCGCCTAACTTTAATTCGGAACTCATGTTTACTGTCAAGGGTTACTAATGAGACTTAGGCAAGGTCAAAACTGCAGTCCAATGCACCGATTACATCCGGATACAGAAGACAATTGTAAGTCAACCATGCCATTTGACTTTTTAATTGTTGTAAACGTTATGGCAGCGCTCTTGAGTCCTACAACATAATAAGGAAGTGTCATTTGGACACAGTAAATGAAATACATTATCATTCTTCTATCCAGAAATAAAAGGGCAGTTACGAGACTGAGAGGCGTAGGCTATTTAAGTTCATAGATAATAAGTATAGATTTAGGAAGGATCTAGGTAGAGTTATCTTTCTGGAGGATTTTTAAAAACTCCAGAGTATGACTGGCCAGAAGTTACAAGGTATCCATGATTTGATAACTAAGCGACATGATAAAAAATTGCTAAGCCATTGGATAATACAACGACTCGAGACCAAGCCTACCCAGGCAAATTCCGATGGTTCCGTATTGAAGGCATCAACTGCTACAAACGACGATAGGGATAAATTAGTAAATTTATCCTCAATTCGTATTGCTTTTGAAACCATGGATTTCCTGAAGAGGGGGTTAACTTTTTCCGTAGGTAACGAAGAAAATATTCTAGAAGATTTTCTTGTGGAAGTTGTGAACACAGCTGAAAAATATCCAGAAGATATAAAGCGGAAGATGGAAATTTCCTGGTACATCAAGACTAGGATACGCAAAAAATTACAAAAGAATGACCGAATAGTTCTTCCGGCGGATAAGACAGAAGCGATGGTGGCATTGGGCAGGAAACAACACACGAATATAATAGAAAGTATCCTAGGCGACTTGAATACTTATCAAATACTAAGTAAGGATCCAACCATGAAGATCAACGGGAAATTAAAAGATATGCTAAGGGAAATGCATACCAACGGCGAAATCGACAAATAGATGATGAACTCTTTAATTCAAAATGACGCAAGACCACCAACAACCTACGAATTGCAGAAGATACACAAGGAAGAAAAACTGCTAATATTAAGGATCAACAACAAGCATGGAGAAACACATAAGTTA